TGTTTCCTTGTGTACTGTCAGTGGAATTGCTTAGAACTGTTTTGGGGAAAGCACAGGACAAGTTGTCATGCTAGTTTCAAAAGCCAGCATCACAAAGCATTAATTTTTCACATGATTCAGCTGTGAGAAGGTTCATGGTTCATTACGTACATTGTGGAAACAGCGTCCTTCTTCTCACCTTGCCTCTGCTCCAGAGTGTGGCCACTGTGCGCATTGCCATGACAGCAAGCTGCAAGTGCAGGAAGGATTCAGAGCTATGTTTTGCCCTTAGCGCTACATCCAGCATGAAAGGTTATAATTAAGTTACTCATTACCTTTTCTTCTTTGAAGGAGCCCTTATCTATCTACCTGTAGATAGAGTGAAGAGCTGTTTTTCTATTTTTGTACTTCACAGCACATTAGAATGATTTTTCTTTAATCTCTATTAAGCACTGCTAAAAAGCCTACTCAGTGGAAAATTACCTTATGAATACCATTAAGTGAGAACCATTAAGTGAGAACAACAGTTGAAGAGGCCTTTACGGTACAAAGACCTGCATTGCGAAAGACTAATAAATCCTTGTTGTGAAGCCTAAGAGAGAAATCACACCTCCAGAATAGGATGTGGTTACTACATCAGCATGCATCATGACAGGAGCTTGCTGTTTGTTAGGGAAGGCCTGAGAAAATATATCAACTTTAAGAACATAATGAGCTTTCAAGCAGTATCCAAAAGAACTGAGTACAAAAATTGGCCAGGCAAGATGACAAACACAACATAATGCATTGGCACAGGCTCCACACACAATGGACAAAATAAAAAAATGAGAGGGGGAAGAGCTACCAAGACTGAGTTCACAAATGCTGGCAGATAGCAAGCCCAGTCAGTATGAAATGTACATAGAGAGCAATGATTTCTATCAAGGAACTAATTCCCAAGCTTTTAGGGACAGTTATCTGCTTGGTAAACAGTTATCTCGTTTCAGGGTGGTTACTCCTTCCACCACCAGCAACACTCTTGGAAAGGTGTTTGGGCCTTCCAGGAGAAGGAAGATTTTTTTCTACACATGCTGCCCATTGTGGGAAAAAGGTGAAGTGATTAATGCAAACCATTTGTAACTTCAGTAGGGGATAGCTGGAATACACTTATACTGTCTGTACTAGACAAGCCTTGGGAAGGCTTCACTAACATGATTATCTGGAATTCCTGCTTGAAGTCTGCTAGCTAAGATGCTGCAGCTTGACCACTTGCTTGTAAATTACAATGGAGTTAGTACCAAGTATGGAAGAAAAAAAGAAAAAAACCCAAAACATTGGGCTTTTTTTTTGTTTTGTTTTGTTTTGTTTTTGTTAAAATCCAAGAAGGCTGCTGATAAACATGGAATAACTTAAGAGAAAACAAAATTAAATTTATTGGCATATATTTTTTTGTGGCTTTTTGCTGAACAACAGGCTATCTTGAAGCTCTACAATTACGAAATTGTGTTACACTGATTTTATAACCCAAGAAAGGAAAAAAATCCATTCCTTCAGTAAAGTCTCACTACATGCAATCATGTTTTGCAGAAATCTCCACAGGGTTCAAACCATAAACCTGGACGTGCCAAATGAGATTAGTCAATTTTCTCACTTGAGCAAATTTGTATGTCAGACTTGGATAGTCTCACCAGGCAAAGTGAAAGCAGGTGCTAGCAAAACCCTTTGAAAATACATTATTCTTCTACTGTTTAAAGAAGCACACACACTGAGCACAAAAGAAACTGTTTGCTCAGTTTTCTGTTTAAATAGCCTTTAAATAGCTTTGTCATGATCTTTATTGCACGTCACACCTGCTCTGTAAATGCAGAATCTCTTACATTCTTGGGAATTCTACCTCACTAGTAGCTGCAACTGAACCAGTAGAGCAACAGCATGCGAAGGTCTGGATTGCACTACCCTGGAGATTTATTTGGTGTTTGTCAGCTGACTATGAGCTGGAAACTTAGAAAGTGCAGACATATCAGGAAGTGGAGAGCATTTCTACACACCTGCATGAAGGTTCAGGTGAAAGCAGTGATAGTACTAAAATAAAACACACACAAAACTGTTCATCTTTTCTGCAAATTTTAATAGGAATACCTTTCATGTTCTGCTCAGAGGGGGTTTTATAATACTTGCCCTTCGAGTACTAGCTTTAACCTTTCACATCAACAGTATCATAAGCTTGATATTCTCTCAGCACAAGCCAGTTCAGAAAACTAACCTGGCAGAAACCAGTTCAACAACCCCTCAACCCAAACAGCCTCTCCTAACCCACACTACCTTTTTCTTCTCTATTCTGCTATCGTGGAAATGCACAAGAAAGTAAAAACTGGGGATATGGGAGAGAAAAGATTCCTCTTCGTGACAGCAGCCTGAAGACGTGAACTGCCAAACACCAGAAAATGATATCTATAAAATAATTCCATGTTTCCTGCCCCCTGCTTGCCCAATGACAATTAGGCATTTGGTACATGTTGACAGCAGTGAGGTGTAGAAAAACTTCAGTGTCTCCAGGCTAGCATGTAAGGACTTCACTTGCTGGACACCAGCAGAATGTCCTACCCACAGCCATCAATGTAACTTTGGAGTCTCCTCAAAATTAATTTTCTGAGGAGGAAAAGCAAGCAGCTGGCTTGATGTAAGAAACAGAACACGTGCTGTTCCCTTAGAATAAGCATTCACATGAACTAAAAAAGTTTGGGCTAAGACTGTTAAGAAAAAATAACTGGGTCTCTAACTACAGCTAGAGAAAACATTAGTGATGTGTCTCTGTTGCGTTCCATACATATGCAGCTTCAAAGCATCTTGCTGGAACTTTGTACTACTAGTAGGTCCTTCATGGTTGGTGGAACCTAGCTGTGCTCCAGCTGTGAGGGATGACAGACAAAACTTGAAAAATAAACCCAAAGAAACACAAATGTGACCATTACTAACACTGTGTGATAACTTTTGATGTAGATTCGAGACTCCCCTAAAATCACATATCTTTCCCCACACCTTTGCAAAGCAACAAAACCCCTCCTTGTGGCCTTTGTCTGCACTACCTACCACAGCTGCTGGGAGAAGAAGCCCACTTAATCTGCTTGACTCCCACCCTCGCAGTTAGCACTTTTTCCTTGCTCATCACTGCTGGTGTTGCCTACCCCCTACACCCCAAACAGGACTGGGGTAAACCCCTCCTCTTCGGTCACAACACTGAATGGCAGGATTGAAATCACTCAAGCTTCTGAACTTCTGCCCCACAGTCTTGCTGGTGCTCTGTCTCCCAGTTGGTACTGGGAGTACAAGGAACTGCAGTACTACACATCACCCAACTGTGCACTGAATTCCGAAAAGTAGGATATTTTCCAGACATCCTCTTCATGAGAGCTGAGGGAGGAAAGGCAGATGCTGGAAAGGGGAGAACAGTTGAATCACAGATTTTTGACAGGCCATGCTCACATGGAAACTTGAGCCAGGCAGGCCCACTAGAAAGCACGCATGGCACTCACAACATTGCAACAGCCATCTGATATTCTTCAAGGAGGAAACATGAGAAAACTATTAGCGTTTCCTCAAAACTCTGAGGTCCAAATTTGCTCCCACTGTTGCAGTCCAGGAAGACCTCAAGTACAGCTAAGTAAGATGAAGCATATCATCAAGATGCAGTTCTTAAACGTTTCTGTTGGGTACTGGACTTTGCACAAACTTTGTACTGTGAGGTACAAGCCTACTCAGATCACGAGTCACACAGCTGACTAAAAATGGTGGATGGATCTGGGTTAATCCAAGTTATAACACTGAGTCATCTGTTTTAAAAAACTTTATTTAAACAAAGTAGGTACATTTCACAGAAATGGTTATAAAATGCACAGCATATTATAAACAATACTGTTACAGATACTAGTTATTATATCCTAAATATTGCTTCTTAAAAACTAATCAGAAATGAGAAAGCTAAAATCCCCAGTTGTCCTATCTTAGGCACTGTGAAAAAAATAGTATGATATAACAAAGCAGGTGTTCACTTTTTCATTCACTCTACTGATTGTATTGCTGCAACATTAACTTGCCAGTTCCTATTATGTGGAAATATCTGGTTCCTGGAGCCACATATCAAAATTAGATTTCCATGAACTGGAACACAAATTGCACTTGTTTATCTGACCAAAAGGCCACACAACTCCAGTGAAAGCTGACTCAGTCTTCACACTGATTAACTTAACAGACAGAGACCACCCGAGTGGACAAAAAAGCCTAGTAGTTCTAGGTTGTGCAGGTATGTCACACCCATACTGCTATTCATAAGCAACTTGACTGTATGTTGGCAAGTCCATATATATTTGAAGCTTGATTTATATGAAAACTGAATGCCCAGTAGAAGCAGACGTTACACTCAGTGGTGATGCTATGCCACAGAAAGTGGAATTCAGCTTATTTGCAGCACCTGAGAACCGAGCACACCTTGAACATTCATAACTTGACATAACCAAATGCAGAGGTGTCTGTTTTCTGATCTTTGGGATGCCAGGGCACAAATAAGTACAAATGAAGAGTACAGCACCAATCCATAACCATAGCCAAGACAGGTACCAGTTCATTCACACAAGACTTCAGCACTTGAGTCATGACTGAAATTCTTCTCACTTACACTTCAATGACAATAGACAGAAAGCAAATGCTGAGGTAAAAGGAGTTGCATCACATCTGCACTGGTGTAAGCAAGTCTAGAATCAAGCAAGCTATAAAATCCATTAATTCACACGCAATAGAGAAGGCAAAATCCCCTTATTTTCAAAACACATAGATACATGTAGATCAAAACATGTATGCTTTCAAATCATATAGATAAATGCTCAAGAATAAAATGACTTTCTGCATTATGACATGAGCTTTACAGTAGTTTAAGCTTGGCTTGGACTGAACATAAAGAAGCTTGGACTCTGGCCAGCAGAGGTCCTTTGGAACTGCTTGTCAAGAGAGAAGAATGAGGTCTGAAGTAGTCCAAGAACACTGATGTTTCATTCACTATCTTCTAGTAGTTTTTGTAAGTTGTTCTGTATCTTAGAAAAAGAGAGAAAAATAATTGGGAGGCAGGAAGTGTTATGCTGTATTTAAAAAGAAATAAAATCAAGACATAGTGTTCAATATACTCTCTGTGTGCCTGTTAATTCTGCCACAACTATTCATACCAGTGGTATTCATGTGAAATGTTTTCTGCACTAGAGTCAAATGAAACATCTGGATACAATCAGCCAGCAGCACACCTAGTTTCTGTGTTATGAGTATCTCCTGCAATTTCCTTGCATACATTCTCTCCCTTATTAGGCATGAGAAAACAAGACATAAAAAAACCTACAACTAGAAAGAAAGGGACAAGAAACCACATTATTTTGAATTTTGAACAAGGAAAAGCCTCAGACTTCAACCCTGCAGCTCTCAGGTTTAAGTGGATAATTCAAATAGTTTTGTAACACCTTCAGCTACACAACTGACTATGAAATGTGTGCAGCAAAACCAGGTGTTCTCAGCATTAGTCCCATTTTCCAGATTTAGAGTATTGATTGTCCTATAGTAGGAGAAAGGGACCTGGGGGTCCTGGTGGACAGGAGGATGACCATGAGCCAGCAATGTGCCCTTGTGGCCAAGAAGGCCAATGGCATCCTGGGGTGCATTAGAAAGGGTGTGGTTAGTAGGTCAAGACAGGTTCTCCTCCCCCTCTATTCTGCATTGGTGAGGCCACATCTGGAGTATTGTGTCCAGTTCTGGGCCCCTCAGTTCAAGAAGGACAGGGAACTGCTTGAGAGAGTCCAGCACAGAGCCACAAAGATGATGAAGGGAGTGGAACATCTCCCTTATGAGGAAAGGCTGAGGGAGCTGGGCCTCTTTAGCTTGGAGAAAAGGGGACTGAGGGGTGACCTCATCAATGTTTACAAATATGTAAAGGGCGAGTGTCAGGACGATGGAACCAGGCTTTTTTCAGTGATGACCAGTGACAGGACAAGGGGCAATGGATGCAAACTGGAGCATAGGAGGTTCCATGTGAATATCAGGAAGAACTTCTTTACTGTGAGAGTGACAGAGCACTGGAACAGGCTGCCCAGAGAGGCTGTGGAGTCTCCTTCTCTGGAGACACTCAAAACCTGCCTGGACATGTTCCTGTGTGATGTGCTCTGGGTGACCCTGCTCTGGCAGGGGGGTTGGACTAGAGGATCTTTCGTGGTCCCTTCCAACCCCTAGGATTCTGTGATTCTGTAGTTACACACTGAAGGCAATGCAGGTCAATCATGTCCTTAAGGACGATTTGCACAGACCTCTTTTACACAGCCTGTTTATCCATCTTTCATCTCCTGGTCCTTAAAAGAAGAAAGCAGGGAATATAGTGGGTCACATTCCACGGCGTGTGTTCTCTGTATCTTAGTAAGCAGCAGTCACCAGGTATGGCAGCTTTAGCCACAGCTGCTTTCAGACTTTGAGGACCCATTGTATGTCCTGTTCAAGGACATAACTTCTTAGTCCTACCTCATGATTTATAGCCCAGATGCACACCATTTTCAAGAGAGTCACTTTGAGGAAAGGAAAACAGTAAGAAGCACCTAATTTTATAAGAGTAACTTAACACATACACAATTTCCTTTTCACAAGTTATGCTAGAGTAAGGGTATGAGTAACATGAGACCATGCTTTCTCTCCCCCAATTTAATGCTTTATCCTCTGATAGATATGGTACGTTTTAACAACTCGTTAAACATACTTAAATGTCAAAGCAAAATTGTGCTAAGCTGCTGTAATTTCTTGATTCCAAGTATGAACTAGAGCTTGTAAAAACCACAAGGTCATACTGCAAAAGTCATTGCAACATACTCTTGCACTGAACATTTTTTAACTGGAGAGTAATTTTAGTTTTTAACCTAGGTAATTCCTGTGGTCACACAGGAAGTGAGACGAGACACAGTAAGTTATACTGGAGCTTTTATGCTACCTTTGCTGCTGAGGCCAGCTGCACCCAAGTACTAGAACTTTTCACTAAGGCTTTTTAAACAACTAAGCACTTGCACTAACTTTTCTCAGAGAACATAAAGCTATTAGATTTCTACCAGTTTTGCAGTATAAGAGCGGCATCATACATCCTCTTCTAACCACTGCTTATCTAGATGTGAAAGGACCAGGATGTGGCAATGTGCATCTACGGGCAAAACTCAGTCTGCATGCACAGCAGCTGGCTGTGTCTTGAGTATTTGGCAAACACAAGGTAAGGCTGCAAGGGTCTAATCCTGTAGGCACTAGCTGAAAAAAATACATGACTTAAGACTCTTAATTCAGGACAGAAGGTTATTTCTCTGGGAGCTGATGAATGATCTGACCATTGAGCTGCCTTTTACAGCATTTCCCAGCAAAGACTACATAATTGAGTGGTAAAGTGCCTAGCACTGTTGTAAAGGGCTGGCTGGCTGACTTCCCACTGAAATGCAGCAAAGGTCTCCAAAGAACCATTTTGCCTGCCTGTCCCAGGCAGCTAGAGAGCAGCAACTTCTTAAATGACCTAATTTGGCTAAAGATTGTATCTGGTAATCATCTGGTCAGCATTTTATCCTTGTATTCATATCGTTATTATCCAGAGCATATTGGAGGGGTTATACTCACATTACTCTAGACTTTCACAGCCAAGGGGGTGGAGACATGGGAGGAAAAGTCACTGTTCTTCGGCAGTCTTTGTAAAACTCACACCACACAGGTAAACAGTGATATCATATAGTATTAGCTTTATGCTATTTGAGAAACTTGGGAAAAAAAGGTGCGGAAAGACTCTAGCATGCACTCAGTTTTAGAAACAGAGGCAAAAATATCCCATGTGACTTAAACATACAGGAATTCAAGTAACTTTTGTTTTTGCTCCACTAACAATTTTTCATGCTTGGCCAGTGTACGTATTCCCAACACATAACATTTCATACTCCTGTAATGGGTGCAGCTGTCAAGGTTTGGGAGCAGGGGTGGGGCGGGGAGGGATGCAGGGGCTGCTGCTGTGGGAAGAAGCCAGGGGCTGCCCCAGGCTGGGTGCAGCTGCTCCAGCAGCTTCCAGTGGGTTCACCACAGGGCACAACTGAGCCCCTCACTCAAGATGGTGGAGCCTCTGGGAAAGTGTATTTAAGAAAGGGGAAAAACAGCAAAAAGTGGAGGAGAGTAAGATAGGGAGAAACAGCAGAAGGAACACCAAAATCTGAGAAGAAAGAGCTCTATGGCAGACAAGATGTTCACACTGCAGCCTGTGGAGAGCCCATGCCAGACCAGGCAGTTATTTCCTAAATAACTGGAAACCCTGGAGGACCCCACACTGCAGCAGAGGGAAAGTGGGGGAATAAAGCAGCAGCAAACAGCAAACTACTATGTACTGACTGTAACCCCTCACCAGTCCCACTTGGGGAGGAGGGAGTGGGGTGAGGATTCAGGAGCAAAGCAGTGAAATGGAGCCTGGGACAGGGGGAAAGAAAGGTGTTCTACTAACTGCCTTTGTTTCTCAGTACCCACATCTATTTTAATGGGGACTATATTAAATTAATTTTCCCCAAGTAAAATCTGTTTTGCATGCAATGGTAACTGGTAAACAATCTTTGTGCCTTTTTATTGACTCACAAGCTTTCTTGTCCTGCCCTGCTGGGACGTTGGAAGTGAGGAGTGGCTGGATGGACATCTGACTACTGTCCAAGGTTAGCTCACTACAACATCTACAGTGAAAATAAGGTCCGCATACCTGCTATTGTTTTAAATAGGTTTCCAATTCAAGCCAGCAAATGTTGGTGATGACAGAATGTTAAAAGATTAGGTACAGGGAATTACACACTGGTGCAGCAGTATTTACTCAAGTGAAACAGGCAGATTGCAGCCATGGCATGACAAGGCTGACTATATATGAAAACCAGCATTGTTTTTCTTAATAAAAAAAACCCCCAAACTCAAACAAAAGCCCCAGACAGAAAATTTCATCATATAGTAACAAAGGTAAAGTTCAGAATCCTTAGCCTTGATGAAAACAAACAAAGAAAAGAAAATTTGGAATAATTACATGCAACAGTAATCAAAGTGTCTGGTTTATTTGTATTCAAGGTGCTAAGCTTCAGCTCAAGGCAAAACATTTAGACATACCACTGCCTGTGCGCAGGCTAATTTACAGCCCAAAAAGCAGCCCTTTATCTAGGAACATGTCAGCTTCTGGTATCAAATTTGGGGGTAATTCGGCACTTTTCAAAGTAACAGATGATAGAAATTCAGCAAGAACCTGATTAGTGTTTCAACATTTGCATTATATCATAGGAAGTTACCTTTTCCAATTTTATAAGATTAGCAGCTAACTCATCACAAAGGGCATCAGCATTAATTTGCAGATGAGATCCCAAACCTTGGTGCACTGGATGTCTGTCAAACAGAACAAAAAGGTAAGCGTGACAGAAATGAAGGAGGAAAACTGAATTAAGATACACATGTCCATGGCAATACAATGGCAACATTGTGAACTGTACTTGTTTACAGAAACCAAGGCCTAGGTCACTTCTACACTATTGACTATGTTCTTTGTGTGATCTCATGCTCCAGAAGTTTGGATGGAAAACTTTACAGCTATTTCCACTGGAATTAAGTTGAAAAGTTGCCCGAGTTCTACGTACTGTGACTTGCAGGAAATAAAAAAACTCAACCCCATAACACCGCAGAAGTGCACATTAGACCACCCTGTATCTTATCCTGCTTGTGATCAGACCAGCAGAAAACAGCACTTTCTTGTGCAAGAGTACCTCAGAAGCAGGACGCATTGTCCTGCTAATAAAAACATGCCAAAATTCGGAAAATGGCTTTTGACATTGGCTACTACAAGAGGTAGGTGTACTCCTCTCCTTGCATTATTGCTAAAATACAAATGCAAGCTTGTTTCAAGTAAAGAACCATTTCCTCCATATTCATTTTTAATTGAACCTAGCTCTGTCTTCTGACACACACATACAAATTCTACTGTTTCCACAGAAGACACCTGAGGGCAGCTGGATCTTAAGCAGCATGATCACTGTTCAACATGAACAGAAGTGCGTTGTCAGAGTGACCTGTTCATCACGGATGGGTTGAAGAGAGCTGAATTAAGAGTTAAAGAACTTGTTACTGGTTTGAAACACTTAGCAGACAGTTCCAGTCAGCCAAGGTACAGTTAGGCTTGAATGCTATTTTCCTCCCTCTGTTTTTCAGCTGGTGCTTTCTTCTCCAGCTGTCAGCATTCCCACTCACACTGCATGTGGCTGCCGATTTTGCAGTGAGATTCCTGAATTACTTTTTAAGCTGTGTTTTTCTGAGCACCTCAGAAAAAAATACTATTATAAGAACAGGAGAAGAGTTGATGCAAAATTTAATGCTGAATAAATGGACTAGTATTTTCTGTGGTGTACAATTAACTGCCTTCTGTCCTAACAGAAGAACAGGAAGCTGACAGAATTTACAGTGGCACACTGCTGTGGTGTATGCCTCTGCACTGCCTCTCCATTTGACACTTGTGTATTTCCTATCCATGCAACACAGATATTAAAAAAAAAAAAAAGAAGACATATGCAGGGGCAGATGACATCCATGAGTCACCTGAGAATGGAAATATGGCACTGTTCCCTATACAAAGAACTATCCCTTGGTGTGTTTGGATTTTTTTTTTGCTTTGGTTTTTGTTGTGTTTTCTTTCCTTTTTTGCTTTTTAAATAATTTTATTTTAGCAAGACAAGACACAGGTTTCTAAAGAGGATATAGGCAGGCCAAAGCTTTAGGAAATAACCAAGTCAGGTATATTAGCCCAATAATTACGAAGTACCTTCTGTCATTATAGGCTAATCAAATGCTGTTAAGACTGAAGACAGAAGATATAACTTTTCCACAAAATCACTGCTCTGGAAAGAAACTTCCTACTTCAGCAGTTTACACATTAGATACTCACAGATATCTGAAACACTCTCAATGATGATGATATATCACATTGGTACTAAAAGTCTTACAAAAAGCTGTGAGATGAGGTGATGAGGTTAGTGCAGACACAAGAACTACAGGACACTAAAACACTGCAAGGGCACTACAGCATCACAGAGGTATCTGAAGAAAATGGATGAGCATGACAAATACTGGAAAAAAACTGTAAAGCCCCAAATTTTACAGAGTGTATCTTACTCCTTGATATGTGAATCAAAAGACGTGATGGAAATAAGACGTTCCTCCAGGACACTGATTTTATATCTCATGTAGAAGGTAGAAAATATTAATACACAAACACTGTAAAAGAGAAAAATACGATACATCGTATTGTAATAGTAGTAACAGTAGTAATAAATAGTAAGGCAACTTTAGAGGTTCCTGATAAATTCAATGTTAAAAGCCACTTAAATCGTTACTTCTAAATGTTGAATAATAAAGGTATCATTCTAAGAAACACCTCTGGAATATCTATTAGTGGCATTCAGACTATTATTAATACCTCAGCCTTGAGTATGACTTTACTAAGTGACATGTAAAATGAACCTGTTAAACCCTTTTAACATTATCTGAACCAAATAAACTTTTCCTCATCAATGTTTACAAATATGTAAGGGCTGAGTGTCAGGGAGATGGAGTTAGGCTTTTCTCAGTGATGACCAGTGATAAGACAAGGGGTAATGCGTGCAAATTGGAGCATAGGAGGTTCAAGGTGAATATCTGAAAAATTTTTTTTACTGTGAGGGTGACAGAGCCCTGGAACAGGCTGCCCAGGGAGGTTGTGGAGTCTCCTTCACTGGAGACATTCAAAACCCACCTAGATGGGTTCCTGTGTGATGTGCTCCAGGTGACCCTGCTCTGGCAGGGGGGTTGGACTAGATGATCTTTTGAGGTCCCTTCCAACCCCTAGGATTCTATGATTCTATGATTTTTTTCCTTTTAAAAGTGAAGGGCCTGTTAAGTAAGCCTGCTCCAGCATTTCTACTTCTGAAAAGTACAAAGGCCACAATTCCCTATAATTTTTTTTTTCAAGTGACACTTATATTAACCTATGTAAGCAGAAATAATTCTGAGTATTTTGATAATCCAGGTATTTAGTGCTAACTTACAGAATTGCATAAAATACAAGTATATGGTTCAGAGATAAGAGCTTCTGTGACTTCACTTTGTGTAGGAACCTGAAGGCTTCAGAATGGCCTGAGAGAAAAAGAAGCAAGTGTTACTTTTATCAAAGCAGACCACAGCACACAAACGGTGTTCTGAAGCATGCAACAGATAGTATAAACAGAGGGATACATTATGTGCATTAATACTATGCAAACATATCTCCACAAACTCCAGCTGAAGATCTGCTCTTGACTCCTTACCATCTTGAGGACTATTTTGGGCTTTTCCGTCAGGTCCGCGCTGACTGTGTGTATCTGAACGGACAGACTTTGCCTCAGCCTTGGAAACTTTCAAGTGAGTCTCTGTCTCAACGACATGGTAATCTGTCAAAAGCAAGATTTTTAATAAAGCTGAAATGCGAAGTGAAAGGAAGCTCTTGGCAGCTTAAGACAGTCAAGGAATAGGGGAAGAGGAGGTTTTTGAAAGGTGCATTTCTGGACTTAAGATAGAAAGCAGCAGTTGGTTTAGTTACCTTAAAACAGTAAAGATGGCAACATGTGCAAACTTTGAAGGTTACCACTCAATTTCCAGTCAGATGATTTTATAGACACAAAAATAACCTCTCAAAAATGCTCCAGATGCTACAGTAATTATTCTAAATTACTTTAAAAGCAACATCAAATGGAGATATTGGATTGTTACTTTAAAAAGAGATTATAGCTCCCTTGTTTTTTAGATGCAGACGATGTCTTGAAAGAGCTGGGACAGAAATATCCATTCACACTCAGTTTTGTTCATGCTTTACTTGCACACCCTGGACTGCTTTATTAATACCCAAGAAACAGAATCACATGAGACAGATGTATTCCCCTCCAGCCGTGAACTCGTTTTTCCAGGGTGGTTCTTCAACTGGGTATTGTTTGTTTTTTTAATTGTAGAAAATGAAAATGTTTAAAGTAATTATTAGCTATAAGGAAGTAAGACAGCAAGTTAAATTATTATCCAGAAATGTTCATTTGGCAAGTGATGACACCACAATTTAGTTACTGCTTCACAAGCATCACCAAATAATTAAAAATACACAGTAAATAACAAAGACCAATGAATGCAAAGAGCCCCAAACCACAGCACTGAACAAGTGACACAAAGAAAAAAAGATGAGTTAATAAAAACTAGCATGACAGCAAATTGCTATTAAAATCATACTATTGCATTTAAAACTAATGGTAAAAGTTTCCTATATAAATTATTTTATAGTCAAGATGGGACCTGGAGTAAAATAATGCATAAAAATGCATTATGTGTTACTATATATTAATTGTACAGCAGAGTAATACTCTAGGTCTTGCTAATAACATTCAGCATGTGCTACATAAAATAAGTTCTGCTGTACTCATGAATTTAATAAGCAGTGAGTTTCTAGACATCATTTCTGCTAAAAAGGCAAACAACTTAAGGCATATGAGACTACAAACCATACTGATAATTAAAAAACATCTTTGGACAGTATCTTCAAGTGTCTTAATAACCACAAAGAATAAAAAGCAGGTTTAACAACAAAACCACAAAAACACATGTTGAAGTAACTTTTTGGGTGATCAAAGTCCACTCTGGTACAGAACATTACCTGGATAGGTTAAAAAAAGTTACATTGAGCTCAACTACTTTAGAATAGTGGTGTTTGTTTTTTTTTAAAGGAAGAACATCTTCTACCTTCTACCTCTACTAGCATAGCTGACTGGGGATACGAGGAACAGATATGGGTAAGGAGAAGTAGGCAGCAGTGAGAAATAAGATTTGCTGCTGAACAAGTCACTGCCTGAATTATAATAAGTTGTAAGAGTTATAATAATGGAGGCACAACTATTGTTGCTTTGAGGAAGACTTAAAAAACCACGTAGTTCTCCAGGACTGTGAGGAATGTAGATTCCACATCAGAAGGGGATTACAGAAGCAAATCTAAGAGCTAAGCCATTCTCTCTTTTTCTTGAGGCTAAATGATCCCACTCACCTTGGAAGCATTCTAGCTCTGGGGTCTGTGAACCTGTGCTGCTGGACTCTTCCATGTCTTGTCTCCGCTGCTGCACTATTCCATCCAGATCAGAATAGTCTTCATTGAAATCCTGATGGGGAGAGTCACAAGAAAGCTCAGCCCTCTTCTAAATCTAGACAACCGTATTTCCTGACCTCCCTCTAGAAACTGAACTAATAATTACAGACTTAAAACCATTTAACTAGCAACAACCTCAGATATCAAGATGTAAAGATCAAGTTAATAAAATAAGCCCCATATGATCACCAGAATTCAAGCTGCATCCTCTGTCTTCATTTAAGTGAAGAGACTTAAGTTAGACACATGGAGAAGTCTAGGACAGATGTTACTAGAATTATTCTCTGGTCATTATATGCGACTACAAAGCTCTTTCAGATGTCTGAACTGCCTCCAGAGGAAGGATTATAACTAAAAACACTTTAAAAACTGCTCATGGCAGAGGCAGAACCAATTTTAAGTCAGTACAGAGCACTGTGAAACATGACTGCTAAAGAGATATAGAACATAGACACCTTGGAATATATCCAAAGCATATGCACGTATATACACTGAATGTGATCATATCAAATTACACCCACATCCGTCATTCCTACTTTAAAAAACTCAACAGAAGTTTTGGAAAAAGGTATGATTTCCTTCAGTTTCCTTTCTTCAGACATTTTAAGTAGTACTTGCATTAAAGGTGCCACGCAACAACAAACATCTAAGCCAGTTACCAAGGGCAGACTTGTAGGACGATCAGCCCTGAAACTGTTTTCTGCAGAAGAGGGATTTGGACTGTTGCCCATGCCTGTATCCTGAAAAAAAGCAGAAATATTAACAAGGAACACACTCAGAAACCACCTAGCATTTAAAAGCAGGAAAGCAGTAATAACAAAGCTACACACCAACTTCACTCCCATTAGTACTTACCTCAAGATGTCTACAGATAGATTTTAATAGCTTGTAGGTGGTATCTCTGGAGAGTAAGGAGACAAACATGTACTGAAAAAAAAGAGTTCCAAAACTGTTTGAGAAAAGGATTACAGTATAAGCTTCCTTTTATTTGAAGAAAATTGACACGTGGATTTGCTGATCAAGTAACTATTTTCAAGAACCTTCATATAGTAGGAAAAATCTCCATTCCGCTCAAGCCCATGACCCTCATGAAGTTAGTTAATCACAAGAAACACGGAACAGGCACATAAAAGTGATTATGCTCTGCTGCAGGAAGCAGAGCATAGTCAAGATCTGTTCCTTTTTAAAAAAATACTTTCAATACTATGTTTCACCTACCTTTTTACAAAGAACCAAAAAACCGTAACTCGTTTTTTGTACAATCTCCTGCATCCACATAATATTTGTGCAATAAAAATGGGCTGGTTCTAATGGTGCCCTTAGGATAATAATATTTTCTACTGATTGATGCAATTACTATTCCTGACTATCACCCTAAACAACCCTAAACAATTGTATTTTGTGCATCTAAGGTATCGCTGGTCAGGTAAGAGACCCAAGTAAATTAAAGAATACCATGAGAGCTGCCAATAAGGCAGGTAACCCTCTGTGCATGCACTTCCCAACCCAACTGTTTCAGTTCCCCCAGTCACTACTCAGCAATCTTGGAGAATAGGGAATAATAGATTACAGATAGCACATGGCAAACCCGTTTCTTATTTTCTCACCGAGTTCTACATAGCTTTATTTACTGCAAAGAAAAAAGACAGTGAGTTAGTAGGAGGAATAAAAATGGTCCTTGCCTGACCCAAGAAAAGAGGCAGAAGAAGCTAGAGTCATAACCTAAGAAACCAGATACTCCAGGGTCCCAAGTATCAAACCTGAGATGCAACCAATTCTTATAGTTGTTTAAACAGACACTTGGCACTTTCAAGAATGCCTCATATCACGGCCAATAAGTAGGGAGGGAAGAAAAAAACAGTAGAAAAATAAAAAGAAAGCAGGCAGAGTGCAATACCTTTGTCCTCTACTTGTGCTTACCCTGTCTGTGACTGTTGCTATGATCAGAGCATTTGGCACAAGAAGAGCAGTTTTGGTTTTCTTCAGAAGTGTCACTGAGAGCACAGGTATACTTATCTGAAACAAGATAAATGTGGTGTTAGGAGTCCTAATACACATACACAAATCTGCATGCTCTTTCACAAGGAGCCAGCCCACCAACTGTGATAAGCCAGACCTTCAACACTTTTCACTTCAAGATTTCTCTGCTGTGTCCCAAAATACTAATAATTCACATCCAAAGGTACAGTTTTACATTATTACTATGTTTTAACTATTTTTATTTCTATTTTTATCAGATGCCAATCCAGGCTCTTGTTTGTGTCATCCTGTCCTGATCCCTTCTGCCTCTTCCAAGACTACTGCCTTAGTTCCTTGTAGATCTGCAGAACAAACCACTTTTAAAGCTAGGCTTCTTCGTTTAGAAACAAAACATTTCAGAACACATGAGACAGGGAGGCTTGTTGAAGAATGAACATTAAAGTATTCTCACCACTTACAGATCCTTTAGCTTGCAGTATGCAGCTGAGTAAACAGCTCATCCTTCAGTGATGCTGAAAGATCCAATATACACACACACTGACTTAAACTGATTCCTGTGTGTGATATCCAGACTGTCCACATACAGATTGAAAAGTTCTCAATTTTCCTTCCTGCTTTATGTTTACATCCAACTCTATTAGCTTCATGCCTGCTAAGTTTCAGAGTCCTTCACTTCAGATATTCTGTATGGGCTCTTATTGTAAACCCCATACTATATAGGATGGAATACCTAGCTTGACTTTCAGTTGAAAATCTTAGAGCTTAGTGAGTTAGGCAAATATAACAATCCCAGATACACACACTTAGGATGCAGCTTCTGCTAAAAATTCCATTGGCACACACTGCCACAAGTACCTGAGGAATTTGGAAGCAAGATCAAAAGTGTTCAAAGATTGTTCAACAAGTGATCATAGCACTGAATTAAAAAAACCATGTCAGTGCAGAAGAAGCATGAAGTTAATCTGCGAAAGTTTCATAAAACCTTGTTAACTTTTTTTTGGAATAGCAACACAAAGCTAGGAAATGAAAAAGTGCTCCAGCTAACAAAAAATACATTTTTGTGCATTAGTTTGGGTGCAAGATTGCCAGTCACTGTTTATACATGGCTAGCTGCGTACCTGCTTGCCATCTATGGGCTAGAAAAATGTTCTTGAGAGCGCAGTTTTGTTAAAAAAGTGTGCTATGAGAAAAAATACAGCCCAGTCCAACCCAAAGCATATAATTTTAATTATTTTTTGTCCCATGCCTGGTCTAAGACTCTGTGAATCTGGTCATAATTTGTTCTATTGATTTGAACATGTCAGCTCTTTTTATCCTGCTTCGGAAGCCACACTGGGTAATTAAACAGGTCCTCCACTACTCCTTGTCTTCTTACACTGGATATTGTATCATTCCACAAAGATTTTGCAATGGTTTTCAAAACAGCTTTTTCTGGGAGCAGGGAGAAGGGAACACCTACCATATGTATTTGATGGGAAAACATCAGAATCCTAGAACAGTCAGATCAGAATCTGCATAATTTTAAAAAAAACAAACAACCATACAATAAACCAAACTAAAATAAAACCGTAAGATTTTCCAGCAGAAATCCTGCTAATAGTAATGATAAAAAAACCAAACAGTTTAGAACTCTTCTAATTGGTTCAGTTCACCTCAAAGAACCTTAAATCAGAGATGTTAATGGCATTCAACTGCATGTTATTTTGATGGATAACATTACTGTAATCAAGACTAAAGTGTACTTAAGTGGGATTAAGTACAGGTTTACTGCACTGTTACCCCAGCATTAGATTAAAATGATAAAAGTCACTGCAAACTACTTTATTTCTACGTGGAGTGATAATTATTTTAGGAAACAAAGTCTACCTGCAGGCACTCTGGAAGGCAACTAAAATGCAGAAGATAATGCTTAGCTCCAGGAAAGACTCAATGGAAATATATATTCAAAATATAACTATCTGGAAAGACAGTGATGTCTTTCAAAGACTATTAATCCTGCAGAATCAGTCTTTTGCTTTTGAATGTGCACAGTATTTACAGCACAGATTCAAATCTCCTGACTTGCATGGCTCTCAATAAAAAAAATTCCATAGATAAAAGAGTTAACATTGAAAAATTTATTAGTATACCTGCTATTTCTCACAATAAAGCACTTTACCACTGAGTTTAAATTGTATTATAAGTTCTCAGCAATGGAGGTTTCTTCTCTTGGAATTTTTGTTAGTGTATCTGATTACTAAAAAGGTTCCTCTTCTTGTCAAGATGGATTTCCTCCTTCCCCTCTCATGACATTATTTTTCATTATATCCTAAATTTTCCTTTTTCTTTTGTTGACAGTATTTCTAAAAACTTGTGCCTGCTTTATTGACTAAACAAAGCTTTAAGTGTGTGATGCAGGGTTAGAAGAAGGCAGCTGGAAGGAAAACACTCCAAAACCTCCAACTCAACAGAACTAGAACACAAATCTTTTTGGAAGACATGGCTTCGTTTTTATCCATATGCGTATCATTTACCACAGGGGGCTCAAGCCTTAGGTGGGTCCTATATGAACCAAGAAAGAGTAAATTTTTGTCTTGTAAACTAGGATCTTCCCATCCGTTCATGTCCCACTGCTGCTCCACACTAGCTCACAAGTAAAAACCTAGCAAACGGTTTTTTCTTTCCCTGTTCTCTGTTTATGTGGGAGTGCTAGAAGAATCCCTCAAAGATCTTTGCTACTCAACTCAGAAGCTAGTTTTGGTTCTTCCTCTTTGTCTTAATATGTTTGATCCTTCCCTCCAGTTGCCCAACTACAGTCTTGTAGTCCTTTTCAGCCTTTCTTCCTCCTCCTTTTTCCCATACTTACCCAAGAGAGACATTTTGTACAGTTCGTGCTACTGGGCTTGGCAACGCCCTCACTGGTGCATGTCTTCCTTTAGTCTGTTTTTTTTTCAGACAGGAAATCCTTAGGAGAGAGACTTCATCTTTAATAATCATAGTGCTCCAGTTATAAAATGACTTTCAGGCATCACTTCTGAACAGTGCTTGCATTCAGTAACACGTAGAAGTATTATTAGTATTCTTGCCTTGCATAATAATCTGAACTTCTGGTGATTAATTAATTGTTAAAGGATAGCATTACTTACTGTCCTGATACGTATTTTACTAACCTTAGTGTCTTTACCAAAAACCTTGGAATGAAAGCAAATCCAGTTTTCAGAAAGAAATAACTTTCCTTGATACAGAATCTCCTTCTGCAGAGCACAGGTAAAACCTGAAACAAAAAGATACTCTATAATCTTTAAGGTAACCACAACCCAAGCCAACTGTCACCAGTTTGGCCTTTGTTTTGCTCTTTTTTCAAAGACATAATATGTTTAGGATTATACCTTTTGATAAACAGCAACAAACTTCAAAATGTTCAGTAAGTTTAATACTGACAAGCTCAGAAGATTTCACAGGCCTAAGTTTAGACTCAGAACACCTCAAGGGCAAACACTAAAATGCATAACATGCAAAAGGCATCCAGAAGCCAAGAATACTTTTGGAGAAACTACCACCTAGCTTCCTATAAACTTTTAAACTAGTTTTCATGTAGCTATATAGTGAACATGTAAAAAGCTTAGTGAAAGGTTTTAGATTGAAGCATTTAGCAACAGTTGTCTGGTCTGTAAAGTAACACTGCTTTACTTCACAGCCATTGAACAAACCATTTCTCAGTCATGAACTGCCTTCCTTGTATTCTTTTCAAGAAACATTTGTTAATACATGTCTATGTCGACTTCACTTGTTATAACTGCCACAGGGAAGAGCAGAATCTTTAAACATTTTAAGTCTTTCTCCTACCAGTGTTTTTAAATCTTAAAGCATCATCAACAGCAAAAACTCAAGCTAGTCTCATGACCACTGTCTCGATTAAGTAGTGCCTTTAGTAAGGAAGCTTCAGTCCCAGAAAAAAGTTGCATTAGGGTACTCTGCTAAGAAGTGCAAAGTAGGCTACAATTCCCAAAGATGCCCAACAACTGAAGATTTAAGTTTTGCAGGATTACAACAAGAACACCCACTGCATGCAGATGAAGGCCTTGCAGTTCTACCTAGCTGCAGTTTAAGGTTTTTAAAATGTAGGTGGTCCCTCTTGTACATCGCCAAAGTTGGTGGGCAACAACACAGTCTCAGATCTACAGCCAGCAACGAGAAGGGGGTTAATACTTACTTTGTTTCAGTGGCTCATCAATGGGAACATCTAGAAACAGCTTATGAAAGTGTGCATTTGCCTTCAGCTAAAAAACAAAAAGCCCCACACCCAGAGACACATCCCTTATTAGATACTTTTACCATCAAGTGACCTATTCTGCTTCCTGCATTCCCAATACCCTCTCATTTTGCCCAACTGTCATACAATAAATTCTTATTTTTGCTATGTGATTAAGTATATTTCCTGCTTCACCCAGACTCTAACACACTGATGAAAAAGGCATCTAAGTCCTTATACAACCACGAACTACAATATTGCTAAACATGGGCGCTCTTATGGTAGTTACATATTTACTCTTAATATATATAAAAAAACAAGTCCATCCTCTGTCCTACCTGATTTGAGGCACGTTTTTTCCTTTCAATCTTGGAGTCACTCTTGATATCCATTGTCAGGAGTGGACTATCTGTGCTGCTCTTTGTTCTGAATATTAAAAAAAAACATTCCGTATAATCTTGGTTTCAGTCTTGGTAATTTATCAACATGATGTGCTTTTCTATGAAACATATTCATCCTCTAATAACTATTATCTGATTAATCAAGGATTATGCAGCAATAAAGAGGAGTATATCTTATTCTTACACCATGCCAGCCTTCACTGAAGCTCTTCCTTTAATTTTATATTAAAGGAATATTTTAAATTATGAGTTGTAAGAAATAAATAATATAAAAGTTTAAGATATTTTTGCAGCTGAATGCATTATAACAGTGCTTAGCTCCATCTCCAGTTGTTTCTGGGCAACATGTGGTATACTAACTCAAAGCATGTTATTTACTAATGCAGGATAAAGTAAAACTGAGTAGCTGTGAGCACAAGGTGATGTATTGAAAACCATGAACTTGTACTACAAAATGTAAGATAATTTTCAAAGTACAATAGAGAAAAAAACATAGGGTGGCTATGAACTGGGTAGTATAGTGCAATGAAATTATTAAGACAGCCAGCAATCTTAAGAGGAGATAAAAGTGAACTGGGAGTGCCAGTTGTAAAGGAAGCTGTACAGCTCCAGCCAGTCATATTGGAAAAAGAAAACCAACCAAAAACCCAACAACCTTAGAGTAGAAAAAGGATAGAGGAAAGTCTCTGCAGATGGCTGGGAAAGTAACTTTACTTTGCTCAGGCAGAAGAAAATAATGACATGGACTGTTCAGAAATACAAAACCAGAGGTGAAGTAACAGTGTTTCATAAATCAGGAAGTGAAGAACATTATCTCTGAGAGCTATTTAGCATAGAAAAAAAATAGGCTGTAAATATAAGGTAGCTCTGTTTAGTGGCTTTTAGATGCAGACTGAAGAACAGAATGAAAAGTACAACACACAACTCCTACGCTGAATGACCTGAAGAACATGTTTTGCTGAAGATTCAATGGGGAAAGAAAAGTTCCATTTACTGCACTTTATCCTGCATAATAAGTCTTCTTTACTTTCCTAAACTTGAGTTGTCCAGTAAAACTGTAAGCATCAAGGGAAGAGAACTCCCAAGTGTAAAGGAGATTCAGCTGGATTTAGGAAAGAGACTGTACAGGTCCGATTAAGATAGCAAGGGCACTGGCTGCATATCTCAGGTGGTCCCCCACAGAAAAAAAACCTCTAAAATACATGTGTACATGTATTTGTGAGCCTATGTAAAGTACAAGACAAACTGAAATGAATAGTAAACTTTAAAAAAAGTCAGGGTCTTACCAACATACAGTCAATTACATTGAATATGAAAGGTAAAACTGGAAGGAGAGTTTGAAAAATAAAAAAGAGTAATACATAATTCTTCAAATATCTTCTCCTCAAAGATGCTTCAAGAAATTAAGTGATGTTTTTTAAATATCTGCCTTGTTACCAAAAACAGTGTCAGGTTGACTGCTGACTTGTGTACTGACTGCTCTGTTGACAAAGTGAAAGGAACGCAAAATTTGTATTCACGTCCTTCAAATGAGATTTTAGTATTATTTAATTTTATTTTATTTGAAGAGTTTCAAATGCATTCCTGTTCTCTGACAGAGAAAGAATTACTATTTTTGCAGTCATTACAATAATCTGATGCAATACATAGCATAAAGTAAAAAAAGCAAACAACTTTTGTCACAGCTTTACCATGGATAATCAATATTGCAGCAGGGAAGTGTTCTGGGAGCTGCCTACAACTCAAACTGCAGCTCAGTTTGATTGCCTGTCGAGTTGACTGTGAAAGGGATGAAACTAGCAGTGATACCAAACAGTGTAATGTATTTTTTCCTAGAACATGGAAGTAAAGCCAGCCCAAAGTCTAAATTCCCACTATTGTGACTACTTGTGTTTGGTAACAGAGCAGCTCCTGGAACGTGGCTCTGATTCCTGTTGATTTGCATAGCATGCAAGCTAACCCACAACTGGGATGTCTGATAAAGCCTGCCACTCAGCACAGCTTCTTGAATGGGCTGTAGTAATTCTGATTACCTAACTGGAAGAAAACTGTCAGCATTTCTGTCATTACCTAGCAATGTCCACTTTTTTCCGGTCATCAAAATATTCCATTTCACTGGCTGGGGTTTGGGGCAACACAGTAGGTGATTTTCCCACCTTCCTTTTTTCATCTGTTCCATTTTCTCCATCTGAACTGTAGAGTAAAAAAACAAACAAACAAACAAACAAAAACCAGATACAGAAATGTTTATTGCAGGATTCATACCAATGTCAAATGCCACTGCAACATGTTGACAATACAGCATATATTAAAGAGTAAAATTATGACATATCTTTTATATTAAGGTCCTGAAAAGTCTTCACCTATTGACTTGACAGCAATATACATCTGAACAGTATTCTGAGCTGCCATACCGGAATTTCAGTAACGAAGAAAGGAAAACTGAAACACTGCCATGGATATTTCAGCACTCATAAAATTTGTAGCTCTTGTTTCAGTTTCAAAGAGAATGTCTCGTTTAGGAAAAATGCATTCCACGTTCACTACTCAGACTCAATGACTAACAGAAATTAATTTGATTGGCAAGCTGGGAGAAAAACATCCTTCATTACAGTACCTAGTGCTTAGCAGATTATTTGTGAGTCGATGCTGCAAAGAGGGTCTTATATTGCCATTCACTTGCTTCTATCAAGAGTCCACCTGCAGATTTTTCACAATAAAGAGTCTTTTCAAAGTATTATAAGTGTTTGGTTTATTTTACAAAAGCAGTATTGCCACCACAGTGCTCTGCCCTTGCACAGCACATAACACTGCCTCAAAAATACATCTTAAGAAACTAGAGCCTGTGGGCTAAGAGATGTGCAGTCAGAGCCTTTCCCTGGCTTCTCTTTTCATTATTTTCTAATAAAATGCTAACTCAGAAAATTTAGAGAAAAAAAGCTGCAATTACCAGCAGGGTATGAACAATGACACAAATTTAAAATACAACATGACAATTATACACATCCTTCTTTGGAAGACTAAAGCCTCAGAAAAACTACAGGATGCTATTATTACTAAAGAAGAAAGCTAAACTGTATTGCCCACTAATTTAATGCCTGGCCCGAATGACCCCATTTACAGAAGCTTTCCCTAATAAGGTTTAATTTCTGCAATTTGATAGCAACAACACAGCCACTGTTGTCATGGGAAGGTGACAATAAACAGTTTCTTGCCTACCAAGACAAAAGCTTTGCTGACAGAGGTTCCCAGACTAATTTAATCTCCATTTTCTTTTAGGAGGGGCATAAAAAGATCTATGGCTTTGATTACACTTTGGTGAGTTAGATCAGAAGATACACTTCACATCTTAATTGAGATCTAATGAGGTGGTATCCTGCGTAGAAGATAAACTAGAGCTTATGTCACAGGATGAAAGCCATGGAGTTTTTTCTTACTGGTGCTGGGACTTGTTCTTAAGGAGTCTTTTATGTTTGCATATAGCAACTATTCCCTTATCTAATCTTTCCTGAGCCCTCAGAAATCACCACCAAAGGGGGACTGAATTGTCACTTCCTGTCACACCTTGTGTATGTTTTAAAGGGCTACAGCACTAATGAATTAAATGAGAAAAAAACAAATTATTTCCCTCTTGGACCAGCCCTGACTACAAAGCACCAGCTTTTATATTTGGCCAACATAAACTAAAGTTAAATGGGCAATTCAAGAGGTTTAAGTAGAACCTTTGCTTAAAATAGCCAAATAAGCAGTTTTATGTGCTTGAGATTTTTTGCAGAGAGAACTGCAAATCCAAGGTGATTCCCAAAAGCACAGGGGAGCTTATATTCCCAAAGTCTGCAAATCCTGCAAATGTCTTAGTCCCTGTCTTCCTATCTGTTATTTTTCTATCCCTCAAGTTCCGAGGTTTTAAGGGAGGCCAGAGAACACCAGACGTGAGTGGGATGAGGAACAAGGCACGGCAAAATTATCAGGTTCAACTACAGCTGAATTTCAGAAGAGCAGAGCAGCATGGAAGCTCCCAAGTGAATAAGACTACATGACACCGCAGTTTTAAAGATGCCATTGCTTGAGCCTGGAGCCTGACTGGTGTCCATCATTGCCTTGACCAGCTTTCTGGCCAAACACAACAATGCTATTGACTGACCAAAGCACCCTGAATCACACTTGCACTTCCATACCACAAATTTGTTTCAAAAATATCTGTAGCACAGGTTTTGATGTTCATTCACACCTGCCAGCATGGTTAGACATTTTGTTTCTCTGAACACTTTAGTTACTTACCATTCATACTCCTTTTTCCCTCACTCATAAATTAATCCCAACTTTGCAGTGAAACCTGTAAACCTGTCTGTCTTCCCTATTAACCGGTACTATTCCTGAACCTCTACTCTCTGAACTCATTCCCTCTAGCTGTTTTCCGATGATGGAGAGCTAGGGCATCTCAACATGCTAACCCCGCTGACTGTTGTCCGTGGAAATGCTGAGCTACTCATGCCAGTTCAGTCACTCCTCCAGGATTCTCTTCTGCAGCTAAGAACAGGAAGAATGCACACAAAAGCAGCAAGTTTCCCTCAAAACATCTCAGGAGTGAGGAGACTCACCTGTGTAACACAGTAACACTGGCTGTAGCAATTTGGGGCTGATACTATCCTGCTATGTCTGTCCTTTATCTACCTTGCATACTCCCCCTTCACATAATGAAAAACTAGGTAAGGATTTGTCCTTACACTTCTGATAACTAGAGGTCTGAACAGCAGCTGAGTTCCTAGTAGGTGTCTTTAAAATATCAGAAAAATCTTAGCTGAACTTCTGGAGATGAAAAAAAGATCACAGTTATGACTAAAACTAGTACAATATTGTTCATACGGTTACAAGCAAATTAAAGCACTCCTTACATTTTCATGAGAGTCAGGATTCCTAAATGCTTTATAAAGAGACCACAAAAGTCAGCAATCCATGAAAAAAAAAATAAAAATCCAGTGCACTTAAGTAACAAAGTGAGGCTCATTACAACTGTTAGCAATTGTTGCATATAAATGAACTGTATTTATAAATATCAGGGCAAAGCATGTAAACTTTGTGACAGCAGGATTTTTCTGATATGGATATAAATATTTTGTCAAATAGAACATATATTGAGTATTTGGTACTACTAACCCTATTTAAAATAATAGCTAAAAGAAAAAAAAGGAAAAAGTTGTCTCACGTTTCCAAATAAAGAATTGTTGCCGTAGGGAGTATTTTCAAAGCCAAGGCTTCAGCCTACCATGGGATCATATCTTGTATCTAAGCAAGTTAAAATAAACAGTTGCAAGCACTCTAACTGAACTTTTTGCAATAAATGTTTATTTTCCTTTTTTAGACATGCAGTAGCAACTGAATGGAATATTTTAAGATTAAACAACAGAAAAGGGAAAGTGCTATACACTAATCAAGGCAACAGACTAAGCTTCACTCTAACGAAATGTCAAAAGTACATTATTAATCTATGTATTTTAAAAGTCAGACGAACTTAATCTCTTCTACTTTAAATAGTTTCTGCTAACAAAAACTTTTGATGTGTCAAGTTCCTCATACTGCAGAAAGTTTTCTGAACTTCAAAAGGTTTTGTTGTTTGTCACCAATCTTCTCCACAACCTGACAAATTCAGACTTCCTGTGAAAATTAAGTTGTTGTATTAACAAGGATTTTTGAAGGGGAAAAAAATTAAAACCCATAATCTAAATTATAACCTTTTTCCCTGTTCCCTTTGAATCTGGTGTGAATAAGAAGCACTGAACAGAAATAATGAGAGATGTGGTAAAAGGCCAGTTTGGAAAGAAAGCCTTAAAGAACAACCACTGTCTTTAACAACCCCAGTATAATCTTATCTGACATGAACATTTCTCAGGCATACCTCTTACATATAAAAGACTCCAGAACTGTACAGTGGTTATGGTATTTGACTCCCCACAGCCACACAAACTTTTCCACAGTTTCCTGTGATCCACCTCAACGGACACCTACACTACTCAGTCTGTATAATAACAGATCTAAAAAGTTCAGAAGCTACATCAACTTGCGACAAACCAGTGCCTCAGCTGAAAACTGCAAATCAGTCATACAAGAGGAAAAAGGCATCTTGAATAACCAGAGATGTTAGCTACAAGTTCGTTTGCAAAACTGCAGGCAAATCAGTATTACCCTTGGGCTGATTTGCAGTCAGCACTGCTGCAACGGTGCCTCTGTAGGTGGAGCACACATTGGATCATCATGTTGCCTTAGAAGCCCTGTTATCCCACTTTGTCTCTTTTAAACAAAAAAGATTAATCTTTCAACAGCAGTTGGACTGGTGAGATATTGCAAATGATCAACTGAAAGAATGTGGAATAATTCCTCCCCTATTGTCCACAGCCATGCTTGGTACACTGTATTGGGAAATATCTGTCACAAATAAAATTACATCATTGATTTTGGGTAGCCATTGGATTTACTTGTTAGTTGTTGGCAGAACAAAAGCATTTGACAAAGGAATTGCAGCAGTGGGAAAGGCCCAAATACTAAGAGATAGTGTTATTTAAGCTATTCTTATTTCCATACACAAGTTTATTCTGATAAAGAAACTGGTTATTCTTACAGAAATTAAAAGCCAAAGGGACAGACGCAGAACATTTCAGGATCTCAAATCAAGATTACAGACTTTGGCAGGCTTGAAAGCAGAGGAGAGGGAGCAGGATAAAGAGATTTATCTAGACAGCATCCAGAGGACATACCAGCAACATACTTCAAGCAGAGATGACTGCAACTGGGTAGGATGAAATGTGCTAATGCTTGAAAGGACACCCGGCTGAACATGTTGCAGGAAAAAGGCCTAAACTCTTAAGCCTCACATCTTATTTCAGAAGG